CATCGCTCCCTCCTGCCAGTCAATCAGTGTAGCGTGGTTGGGTGGCGCGGACCACAGTACAGGAGCTTCCTGTGCCCGGCCAGACTGAAAGGAAGTGCTCCTGTGCCACAGTCCGCGCCGCCCAGCCATGCTGCAGAGAGGGGGGTGGGAGATGACACTAAGGGACACTGAGGGGGAGGGAGAGGAGGAGAGACCACTAAGGGACACTGGAGGGGGGAGGACAGACTACTAAGGGACACTGGGGGAGGAGGACAGACCACTAGGGGACATTGGGGGAGGGAGGAGAGACCACTAAGGGACACTGGGCGGGGGGGAGACAACTGAGGGAAACTGGGGGGAGAGGAGGAGAGACCACTAGGGTACACTGGGGGGTGGGAAGAGAGACCACTAGGGTACACTGGGGGGTGGGAAGAGAGACCACAAAGGGACACTGGGGAGGACAGACCACTAGGGACACTGGGGAAGAGAGACCACTAAGGGACACTGGGGAGAGGAGACCACTAAGGGACACTGGGAGATGAGGAGAGACCACCGAGACACTGGGGAGGAGCCACTAAGGACACTGGGGAGAGGACAGACCACTAGGGACACTGGGGAGGACACACCACTAGGGACACTGGGGGAGGACAGACCACTAGGGACACTGGGGGGGTGGTAGGAGAGACCACTAAGGGACACTGGGGGGGTGAAAGACTAGTAAGGGACACTGGGGGGAGGACAGACCACTGGGGGGAAGGAGAGACCACTGAGAGACACTTGGGTGGGAAGGAGAGGAGGAGAGACCACTAAGGGATACTGGGGGGAGGACAGAGCACTAGGGGACACTGAGGTGGAGTGGAGGAGAAACCACTAAGGGACACTGGGGGGGAAGGAGAGACCACTATGGGACACTGGGGGGAGAGAGACCCCTAAGGGAAACTGGGGTGGAGTGGAGGAGAGACCACTAAGGGACACTGGGCTGGTGAGAGACCACTAAGGGACACTGGGGGAAGGAGGAGAGACTACTAAGGGACACTGGGGGGGGAGGCGAGACCACTAAAGGACACTGGGGTGGGGAGACTGGGGAGGGAGGAGAGACCACTAAGAGTAAGATAGGGTAAGGGGGAGAGATCACTAAGGGAAAGATGGGGAGGGGAGAGAACGCTAAGGGACAGGGGGGAGGGAGAACACTATGGCAAGGGGGAGGGGTAGGGGAGCTCACTAAGGGACAGGAGAGCACTAAGGGAATGGGGGAGAAGTGGAGTTGAGACCACTAAGGGACGGGAGAAGTGGATGAAATCATTAAGGGATGGGGGCAGGGGAGGGCTGGCAGCCTAAGGCCTGGGGGGCAAATCCAGTCAAGTGACCCATTACACCAAAAGGAGAGTAAAGGGGCTGAGGAAGGGGATATGGGCTGAGGAAGGGGATATGTGCTATAGAAGGGGATAGTGGCTGAGGAAAGGGACAGGAGCTGGGCAAAAGAGGACAGGGGCTGAGGAATGGGACAGGGCTGAAGAAAGGGAAAGGGACGGGGGCTGAGCAAGGGGACAGAAGCTTAGCAATGGGACAAGGGCTGAGGAGGGGACAGGGGATGACTAAGGGGAAAGGGGCTGAGGAGGGGGCACAGGGCTGAGGAGGGGGACAGGGGCTGAGCAAGGAGACAGGGGCTGACTAAGGGGGCAAGGCTGAGGAGGGAGGACAGGGGCTGACTAAGGGGACAGGGCTGAGGAGGGGGACAGGGAATGACTAAGGGATAGGGCTGAGGAGGGGACAGAGGCTGACTAAGGAGACAGGGCTGAGGAGGGGGACAGGGGCTGAGGGGGGACAGGGGCTGAGGAGGGGGGACAGGGGCTGTGTAAGGGGACAAGGGCTGAGGAAGGGTGAAAGGGGCTGACTAAGGGGACAGGGCTGAGGAAGGGTGACAGGGGCTGAGGAAGGGGACAGGGGCTAAGGAAGGGTGACAGGGCTAAGGAAAGGTGACAGGGCTAAGGAAGGGTGACAGGGCTGAGGAAGGGGGACAGGGCTAAGGAAGGGTGACAGGGCTGAGGAGGGGACAGGGCTGAGGAGGGGAATAAAAAAACTAAAGTGTATTTCCCCCCTCCCTGAGTCTTACCTTAGGCCAGGGAGGGGTGGGCAGCAGCCAACAGGAGCAGCAACCAGTATACAGTAGCAGCCAGTGAAGTTGGCCTCTCCTGATGATGTCAGGAAGAGGGGGCGTGACTTCCTCTGCTTTTCTCCCAGACTCCCCAGTGGCCCTGTGAGAAGAGCAGCGAAAGTCACGCCCCCTCCTCCTGACATCATCAGGAGAGGTCGGACGACTCCACTGACTGCAGGCTGCAGGGAGAGTGAGGTAAGTTGAAAAATCTGAGTCCTCAGCCAGAGGCAGGGGATTCAGATTTTTCCTTTTTTTTTGTTGGGTGCGGGCGGCCCTGGGTTTAGGGCGGCCTGGGGGGCAATTGCCTCCCTGCCCCCCTTCCCAGCCCGCCCCTGGATGGGGGGAGTGTAAGACACACAGAAAGGCTGAGGAAGGGGTGAAAGAGAAGCATAGAAGGGCTATTAGGGGAGACAGAGATACACAGAGGGGCTCAGGAGAGAAACACACAGTCACTTGTGAGGGAGATGCACATAGAAGTCTGGGGGGGAACAGAGACACACCAAGGAGCTGGGAAGATTAAGACACAAAGGGGCTTGGGGGAGAAAGAAAGACACGCAAAGGGGTTGGGAGGATGTAGGAGACATACAAAGAGGCGGGATAAGAGGCACACAAAGAGCTTGTAAGAGATACACTAAAGAGGAGTGTAAGACACAAAACTTAAAGAAAAAAATATATTTAAAAAAACATATTAACAAAATAAGTATTATAATAAAAATAAAGAGCTGCTCCCCTCCTAGCCCATATCCTACCCCACAAACCCTCTCTTTCACACTACACACATACACAATGCATCCTTACACATACACAGAATATACACACGCACAGAATGCATCCCTACTCACACACACAGACTGAAAAATACAATGCATCCTACACTCACATAGAAACACACCATTCGTCCCTTAAACACACAGAAACACACAATACATCCCTTACACACACAATGCAGACCTTGCACACATACACAGAAGCACACAATGCATCTCTTACACACACACACACACTGCTTCTCTTAATGCATCTATTATACACACTTAATGCACCCCTTACAGGCACACACACTGCATTACATTACATACACAGAAACACTCCTTACATCCCTTACACATGAAAACACAGATTCACACAATGCAACACACACACACAATGCATTCTTTACACACCACTACATCCCTTACACAAACTGGTATTCCTATACATTGCATTCCATAAGAACACACACACACATTACATCCTCTACAATAACACATAACACATCCCCTACACACATACACTCCACTCTCTGTGAGCGAACTAATGGGTGGGCCTTGTAGGCATCAGGCTTATGGCCAGGCCCAAACCGTGATCTGTGTAAGGTGCCTCAAAAATAGAGCTTGTTTTAACACCAGACCAGTGAAGCCAGACTGCAGCCTGAGCCCATCATCATCCTCTTGTCCTCCTTTGGTGGTAAGTAGGCAATCGAGTATATTATTAGTGGCACTAATCCCCAATTCACCTCACAGTAAATGGCCACTATAGTCACCAGAGCCATCCACAGCTTGATGTAGTGGTTCTGGTGTCTATAGCCTTTCCCTGCAGGCTTTTTAATGTAAACACACTGCCTTTTCAGAGAACAGACACTGTGTGCAGCACTGGCATTGGCTCACATGGCAGATCATATTTGTGGGGCATTGTGATGGGGGATCAGCAAATTTTTGTTAGCATAGGGTGGCAAAAATCCTTGCACCGGCCCAGCTGGTGCTTAGGGGTTGGGGGTGTTCTGGGCACGTGTCCTAACACTGTGAAGTACACGTTGAGCTGTGTCAAGTATAGTTTTTGTTGTGTGCAGTGTAGACGTTAACATTAGAGCACTAGTAAACAGCAACTAATTTTTCACCACACATTTCTAGTTGGGCTGGGAATGTTGGGCTACTTTAAACAATACACTACACAATTATATTCTAATATATTTTAAAAGTAATAAAAACAAATCCATCATAATCATGTTATGTCTGATTTTTTTGTAGAAGAAACTGAGGGAGGATACGAGTCATGTTCCCCAATCCACCTCTTAACACATTCTTTTTTTGTGTTCAAGGACTGGTGACACCTCCACCAAAACATCCACCACCATTATTATCAATATTCAACATATATGTATAAATAAAGTGTAATGTGAATGACTTACTCTTCCATTCCACTCTTTACTTTTTTGTAAAAATCACCTTTTTAAAGATGAAATGATGCCTGTTGCTACTAGGGCATTGATTTAAAAAATGAAATATAGTCACTGTCACTGCAGACTGAATATGTGGCAAAGCTTTGTTCTTGTCAGGATGAACGGGTGAGTCAATGGTTCCTCAACTGCCCACTGCGATTTCACCATTTTCAAATAAAATTACTCCTACTACACCTACTCCTCATAATACAAATTTGCCACAGAAAAAAAACCCAATGTGCATTACAATAGTATTCTTGCTTATTTTTTTTAAGTGATTTTAAAGAGAGATAGATCTATAGATAGATAGATAAATAGATAGATATAATAAACAATATCGAGCGCACTCGTTCATTTGCAGCAATTTCAAAGCTCACAGAATGTAATTATTTATTTGTAAAACACCTAACCTAGACAAAATTAATAGGGGGTTAGTTACAGTATTTTATCACACATTGAATAAGACTGCTACAATGTCTATGTATCCCATTCTTGGCACGTCCTACTGTAACAACCTAAAGCCTGCTCTTATGAGCTTAAACTGGGTAAATGCTTCTTCCTAGGACTCTCTGCAGGTAAAGTTTAAATAGGGTCCTGGAGAGTGACACATGTGACAGTGAGGGGTGCCAAATTCAGAATTGCAAAACATGTAAATATGTCCTTTCATTATTTTAAAGTTATCATTCCACATGCAATTATATGCATTAAAAATATCTAACTATTTACAACTAGCATCTGTGAATTCTCACATCTGGTATTAACTATATAATTGCTCAATGGAGAATCAGGAAGAAACACAATATAATAAATCAGAAACAATTCATTTTATTAGTGTGCACAGATTGTGACCTTTGTTAATTCAGGCATTACAAAATGTGAAATCAGTATTTTAATAGACTTCAGAATATGATACTGAGGTCATTAATCCTGGTTATATTTTACTCTAAACTATCTTCGTTATGAATAAAATGTCATTGTATTCTGAATATTTGTACTCAGGTAGCTAGTTATTTAACCACTTCATTACAAAGGTTAGTAAAAGTTAGTAATGGCAATGCCCGACTTATGAATGTGTTTTCAAACTACATTTCTAATGTTCAGTCAGCGCAAGCTAAAGGGACAGTATAGGCACACAGACCACTATATCTCATTGAAGTAGTCTGGATTAAGTGTCCTTGTCCCCTTAACCCTGCAATGTAAAACATTGCAGTTTTAGAGAAACTGCAATGTTTACATTGCAGGGTTAAGGCTGTCTCTAGTGGCATGAAGACGTCCAGTGCCATCTAATTATTTTTTCATTGCTTTCCTATGGGGAACCTAAAGCACTTGTGGTGCTCGCTGTGCATGCGCATTAGATTCCCCCTTACAATGATGAGGGACCTCAGCACTAGAATTGAGTAAGTGTTGAAATAATTTTTAAACCTTTGATTGTCACAAAGGGGGGGGGGATCAGGGGACAGTATAGTGTTAGGAACACAGCTTTGTATTCCGACCACTTTAGCGTTTCCTTAAGCATATTATAATGATTATTGCAAGTCTTTTGTTGTGATTAAGCAGACAATTTTTGACATCTTTCTTGCATTTATTTTTTTATCAACAATCTTTGCCAAATATATTTGTAATTGTAATGTGTTACATTGAGCTAATTTCCTCACATCTCTTTTGGCTTATATAGTGAATTAATAAATACAAAATATATCATAACACTGTACATGCACAACATACATTCATTTTAAAGAGTGATAACTGGTTTACAAGCATAAAGTGGCATGTAAGGATAAAGGTGTCATAAAACCACCAGCAGTTTAAAACATTACTTTGTAATGATACCGCCAGCGTTCTAATGAAAGTGTCAGAGAACAAGGCCTGCTGTATAATACAAATATGATTGATTGCTTTGGATTGTCAGTAACACTTTATTTCACAGTGGGCTAACAAATGTGTGATTCAATGATAGTATTATTATTTTTTATTATTTACTTTCTACAAATCACACAAACTTTTATCTGTACTAAACAAAACGCTGATGTATATGACATAAAACATAACATGAGACTGGTGATACAGAAGGATTGGGGTCCCTCATGATTACCTTGCAGAATAGCAGGACATTTAATAGAAGCAGATAATTGTGGGACAGAACGGAAGAGAATGGTCTAATTATGGTTGAAAATTTTTTACAAATCAGATGGCTGAACTGGATGGTAGGGAGGTTATTTTTGTTTTATATGATAAACTGCAATCCATTTTTTTTATTGGGGCTATCTATGGGTAATTATTTATTTTGTTAATTGGAGAATTTGAGAATTTGAGAAAAGCCGTTATCAGTGGTGAGCTACTCTTAGCCTTACTGTTTGCGGCTTCCTGATTCAAGCCTCAAATTGCAGCAGATGTTGGTGAGCAGAATGTTAACTTTGTCAACAAATGGTTTAAACTTTCAGGTAAGCTGATGCCCAGAGACCTCACAGCATGACAACTTCATTTTAATGCAGTTGTTCTGGTGTCCAGAATGTTCCTTTAATGCCTCTGATCCAGAAAGGGACAAAGAAAAACAAATAATATGCAACTTACACTAATAATCCGGATCTGAATGAAAAAGTAAGTCCCAAAAATCATAAAAATATAAATTACCATCTGGTTATTTTCAGGATAGGAGTGACCCAACATGTATTTTAGTCACAGTTCATAAAGCAGGTATTACTAGTCATTAGAGGTGGCCAGGCTTAACATACCGGTAATTAACCCCTTAGTGACCAGGTCGTTTTTCAAAATTCTTGCCACTGGGACCAAGGCTCTTTTTACATTTCTGCTCTGTGTGTTTAGCTGTAGTTTTCCTCTTACTCATTTACTGTACCCACACATATTATATACTGTTTTTCTCGCCATTAAATAGTCTTTCTAAAGATACCATTATTTTCCTCATATCATAATTTACTATAAAAAACTTATAAAATATGATCAAACAATTGAAAAAAACTTATCTTCAACTGCCAAAAAACACCCATGCTAAATAGTTTCTAAATTTTGTCCTGAGTTTAGAAATGCCCAATGTTAGCATGTTCTTAGCTTTTTTAGGAAAGTTATAGAGCTATAAGCACAAGTAGCACTTTGCTAGTTCCAAACCAATTTTTTTCAAAATTAACGCAAGTTACATTGTAACACTGATATCTGTCAGGAATCTCAGAATAACCCTTCACATGTATATATTTTTAAAAAGAAGACAACATAAAGTATTAAACCTGTGGTATTTTGAATCTTTTCATGCAGCCATTTTACCACCAATCTATGCCAAAAAAAATAATAAAAAATTTGGTGATTTTTTGAGACACATAGTAATTTAAGAATATATGTACTGAGAACTTTAAGGGTTACTGCCAAAGAACACCCCTATATGTGTTCAGTATCATCTCCTGAGTACAGGGATACCACCCATTATTTGGAGGGTGCGCATTCCAGTTTTCCAAGCACTAATTCCAACACCAGTCTCTGTCAAACATTTGGGTAGTCATTCTTTTGTGTTATTTTTCACACACATTCTAATTTAGGTATGGATTATCAGCTCCTAATAGATGTTACTGCCAAAGAACACCCCAATATGTGTTCAGCAACATCTCCTGAGTACAGTGATACTACCCATGTATAGGTGTGTCGGGTTCTCTGGGGGTTAAAATACCTTATTTGGAGGGTGCCCATTCCAGTTTTCCAACTTGGAATTTTCACAGTTGGTCATCATGCACCCATGTCCCATTTGGGACATTTTTGAAGCTGGACAGTATAATTTACCCCCATCAAACCATATATTTTTGAAAAGTAGACACGCTAAGGTATTTCAAATGGTGGTATTTTAACACTTTCCATGCACTAATTCTACCACCAGCCTTTGTCAAACTTTTGGATAGTCGTTTTTTTGTGTTATTTTTCTCTCACATTGTACTTTAGGCATGGATTTTTAGTTCCGTTTATGTGTTACTGACAAAGAAACCCCCAATATGTGTTCAGCAACATCTCCCGAGTACAACAGTGCCCCCAATGTACAGGTTTTATAGACTTTTGCAAACTTACAGGGGTCAAATGTAGGGCTTTTCCATGTTTGCATATTGAAATTTGCCAGATTGGTTTGCTGGGCCTATGTTGCCTTAGAGACCATATAGCCGCCCAGGAATTAAAATAACCCCATCATGGCATACCATTTGTAAAAGTAGACAACCCAGGGTAT